TATATATATAAATTTCCTAGGCACTTTTTCTGTGCACTGCATCATGGGTTCTGGCCCTGTTTCTTGGGACTGATGTCCTCTCTACATACTTAGGTCTGAACAATGTGACTGTTAAGGTGGCTGGGTGCTGGATAATATGGCTTTAACTTTCTGACACATATGGAACATGTAGAGGAGGCCAACGCCCGTAAGGAGACCCAAGTCTCATAACAGTACCACTTCTTATCTGAAATTGAAAGTGTGTTTTGAAAAGAGAGTTTTGGGAAGTAAGACCCAACAGATCTATTCCCATTAAACTTCTTACTGTTCTTGTACGCAAGGTTCTGGTCACTATTTTATATAATTTTACATATGAAATATTTAATGCCTTACATGAAAGCACAGCCCAGGCCTGAGGCTGCCCCAACCCTCCAAATCATTTGTTTAAGTTACACTTGAGTTTTTTCAGTAGCTATGGAGGAGAGAAAACACCAGTTTAAAGTGGCCAGAAGAAATGTTCATTTTGTGTAGTATATACCAACAACAGTAGTAAGTTCTTAAAGTAGCTGCAGGTTTAGAGCTTTTTGCTCCAACAAGCTTTTTGCTTGGACACCTAAGCAGCCCTGTATGATAAAGATGTGTGATAGCTCCTAGAGCCCACTCTAAGGCAAACAAAAAAAGAGAGCCCCCTTACACTTGAGAGATTTTTGATGAGTTTACCAATGTTAAAATCTCATGTCTGTCTTAGAAGATGGATTCTTACTTGAACCTTTTATGATAATCATTTCACCATATTTGTAAATCAACTTATCTTGCTGTAAGACTTGAAGTTATATAATGATGTCAACAAATTTCTCAATAAAATAGAGGGAGAAGGGATATTTCTAATTAAAGCTAGCCAGACTTTAAAAAAAATTTGCATAGATTTGACTAGTCCTATTTTTTTTTCTTTTATGTCATCAATTCAGGATTCTATAAAGGAAGAGAATGACATCAAGGAAAATCATTGGCCTAAGGGAAAAAAAAAAAAAGCCCGTAGGCGTTTAGGTGTTATATATGTGGAGCCAGAAAGCTCTGGAGCATCAGGGAGACTCCAACTTAAGGCAACAGCATGGGTGAATATGGGGTTTTTTGTACACTGGGAATGAGAGGCAAAGAGTCTATGCCTAGGTATTTGGTCTTACAGACCCAAATGCAATGTAGTCCTGGTGGAAAGAGTTTAGTGTGAATATTGGGGTAGAAAATGGTTTCCAAGTGTACCTCGTGATCTTACTATTTGTTCTATCAGTTTTTTTCAGGAAAATCTTCATCTTGCAACTGGTAGGGATGGTGCTAAACTACAATTTCACTGATTGTGACTTTGATGAGATTAAAAAGATCTATCAGCATGTCTTTTACCCAGCTCTGGAGAACTATATGAATGGGGTAAGTGAAGAAACATTAAAAAAAAAAAAAAGTGTTCTCTTTGGGAAATTAGACATCTGCAGGCACAAACTGTAATTTACATTTCAAGAATAGAAAATAACTTGGAAAATAACTGTGACAGAATTTTCTCAAAAATTTTTACAAATAATGTTGAAATACATTGACTTCAGAAATGACTACTTAGTGGTAGATATTAAGCACGCAGAAGCTATGAAGAACAGATAATGATAAGTAACACATTATCCATTGAAGATGTCTATCTGTTTTAAAAAAAAAAAACTGCTCAACTAAGTACAGAAAAAATAAAACTGAGCAAGAGCTGAGACAGCAAGAGGAGTAAACAGAATACTTGTCAGCTCAGCCTTAACAAGGGAAGGAAGATAGTCCAGGGGAAGGAACACTTCAAGTCTTTCTAGTGTTCTAGATGCCTTAAGGTGCTATTATGGGGTAAATCAAGATCTGGATTCTTAAATATAGAGTAGTAACCAGTTTTTGATTATTCTAATTTCTAGTTAGAATATGCCTGGTTAAAATACATGAGTGACTACAAAGCAGATGTGGGTATTTTTAAAAATGGCATCATTGCTCCCACTTGCAGCCCCATGGACACGTGTGACCATCTTGGGTAGGTAGATGATATCCAGTTTCAAATAGGCATCATGTGAAGTTAATGTTTCGTTAACTAGTCAATAACAAGAACAGATGCACGAGGAATAAGCACCTAAGTGGAAATTGCTTTCTGAGCATCTTTTAAAACTAGGGGCTAACTAACGAAAAAGAAAGGAAGGGGAAGGGATGATTTCTCCTGTGGATTTAAGTCTTTACCCTTCTTATCTTTAGCTTTCCCCCCCTTTCTTCTAGATGACAAGCACCGAGTTCGATCATTTGGACTGTGAAGACCAGGTGAGTAGAGGATCAGTGCTCTGGCTTTCTCCCGAGAAACGCCGGGATTCCCGGGAGCAGGGTGTGCGATGTGGAAACCCAGGCGGTGGATGGGCTCCCAGGCGATGCAGATCGAGGACAGACGACCGAGTAGCCGGCACCCGACCGCCGGAAATGTCTGGGCGGGGGCCCAGAAGGGACGCCGCTTCTGCCCCAATATCTGGCCAGGACTCGGCCACGACCCTGGGGAGAGGCGTCTCCTTTCCCCGCCCATCCGGAGGCCGGCAAATCAGAAACTCGGCCCTGGAACACGTTTAGGGGACTCCTGCGAGTGGGCAGTTTCGGCCGGACGGCGACCCGGGAGGAGCGGGCGTCCGCGCAGGTTCGCTCTTCGAGCCTCGGGACAGCGGTCCGGGTCCCGGTTCCTTGACCTCCGCCCGGGATCTCTGCCCCCTACGAGCTCGCCTCAGTTGTATCCTCCCGCTGCTCTTTCGCTTCCTGTGCTGCTCGGTTCACTCGTTTTTTAGTTGACTTCTTTTTATCCTATTTCTTTTCCTCATTGCGTTTTCTCTTTCTCTCGTGCTTTTTTGTTATTTTTTGCGGACTGTGTGCAGTCGGATTGCCTGGCTCAAATCGAACGCGTTACCTTTACTCCCACTCATGGCTGCCGGTCGCTTGCCGAGGAAAATTTTGCGGTAGGAACCAAGACCGCGTTCATTCGTCAGTGCCAAGGATACTCCGGAATGCAGGTAAGCTAGAAGCGTCGGGCATATAAATGCCTCGACGTTATCCTTGAATTAAAGTGGGGCTTATGTGCAGAAGTACTTGTGATTTTTATATTCGGGTTCTGCCGTTTGAAGAGCACATGAGCGAATAAAATAGGACAGGTGCAAGTGTGTATGTACAATTGCTGCCGTGTCGACCCTAGCAGTTTGTACACGGGTTGCCCCGGCTATTACTTTTTTAGGGGTTGAAGGTTCAACTCACAGGTTATCTGGGTTTATTTTGAGTTGAATACGCAATACCAGGCAACCCTGAGAAAAACTGGTTTGACTCTTACTCTTAATGATCTGAAGAATCTACAGATGGCCCAAATAAGAGCATGAAAGACAGGTGAAATCAAGTTCTGTACTTGATGTGAGAAAAGGAGAAGCGGGAAGAATTTGTTTCCTTACAAGCTAAGAGTACGGACCTAGAACCAATAATATTTAATTGTACCTTAGCAGAATTCAGGCTGTAAGTAACTTGGTGGATTTTATTTTTTTCTGACCCACTTGTCCATCTGTTAATAATCAAAACTTATTTTTGAAGGAATACGCTAAAAGATCATTGTATTTCAGACTTCAGGTACCAGGCATATTTAGGTGCTGAGTAAAGAGAGTGGGAACACTTTGGATCCCAACACTAGGACTGTTGACTTATGTGTACAGTAGCGGCACAAAACAGGCTCTACCCTTGAGAAACTTAGGATCTTGTTAGGAAGATCATGAAATCACCGATTTGTTTATTTTTTAAACTTGTAAATCATTTAAATCAAATTTGAAAGCGCAAAGCATTATGCTTTGCACTGTGGAGATTACCCATGAGGCAATAATAAAAACAGCATGGGAGTGAGAGCCAAGGGAAGTGACAAGCTCTGAAGCTTTGGCAAAGTTTACAAAGGAAAAGCCTGACTTTCTAATTGGGAACGCTGATTTGGCATTGTTCCCATTGGAAACAAGAGTTTCCAATTAACAGAGGGAAGCCTTGTGAAGGAGGTAGTGTTTGGCCTTAAAGCAAGAGTACTTGGACTGAAACAGCACATTCCTTGGGAGAAAGCATTTAGGATCATTCAGAAATCAGCACACTTTGAGGTGTGCAAATTCATAGAGAGACAATCTGAGCTCCCATTCAAGGATTTCTAAAGGTGGATACAATTAATTTTGACTATTAACTCTTTTATTCCACAGATAAATAAGACCCAGGCAGTGAAGATCAGAAAGAAAAGAGAAGTTCCAACAAATGAATGCCTGGAGCAAGTCTCATACTTAATAGAATTGTGGCGTCGTTTCAGTCAACTTACAAGAAAACAAGATAAATTTTGATTGTGACTATTGCACAGTGACAAAGTATCTTTAGTAGATTGATAGAATGTTAACTGTGATATTTAAAAGATCACTCATAGGTATTTTTTTAATTACAGATTTAATAACTTATTTTTGTGAACTTTCATGGTTCAGGTAAATTTTACATGTGAGGAAATTATTATTTCTCAAATTTGGAGGTGTGAAGATATGTGGGGGGAGGATGGCTTCTATAACATTGATGCCTGGACCCCTGGCTGTATAGCAGTAGTTCATGTTTGGGACTACATAATAAAGGAGGTTCTAAAAGTGTAGTATATTATTTTTCCTTCACAAAAGAAGCATGTTAAACTCAGTAGCATTTAAACCTTTCTTTAAAAGGAAGACATTTCTTGATTTGTACAGACACCTGTGTTCTTATTAAAAAACTGCAAAAAGGAAAGTAAAAGCGAAAGGATGTACAAAAATTTGTACATATGATGAAGCAATGTGAAATACTTTCCAAGCAAAATATTGTGAAATCCAAATTTTCTAAGAGACAAGAGTAGTATATGCAAGTAGATCCCAAAGATGTGCCATGTCACTTCATATTTGCATTTACGGAATAATATTTTTAATTTATTTTGTCGGGTCTTTTTAAATGTACAGTTTGCTTTGTAATTAACACTACTTCTTAGTAAAACAATTATCAAAAACATTTCTTATGAATAGTCCTTTTAATTTACTTTGGAGATAAGTATCACACATACTTTTCTTTACCTTATCACTTCATCTCATACCTGGAGCCAATTGACCAGGTGGGAATAGGTAGTTGCCAGACATATTCTAAACATCCTTTTCCTATGATATAAATCCTTCCTTCTCCCCTCTGCTAAACTTTCTCACACCTGAAAGAGATCAAGGAGGTAAAGGTAAACAAAATGGGTGATAGGAAATATATATTTGACTTTTATTCAGTTGCTGGTTCTAATCATCCAAACAGCTATGGAAGCATCAGTCTATTAAGCAACAGAGAACTCAGGATCCTGTACATATAACCTAAGATTGTTTCTTGCAACCTGTAGTATTAATATAAAGTCAACATTTCAAATTAAGGAAAGAAACTGTTTAGCTCAACCTACAAAAACTGCAAACAAAGAGACAGAAAATTCCACCGCAGATGATGGAACAACAACTGAAATACCCATCACGGCATGCCCACTACCCTTCTTCCAAAATGCGAAGTAAAATTCAACTGCAGTAATTCAAGCAAGTCAAACCTCCACTGAGCATATAGCTGAGCACACAAATTACTTGAAAATCTATAAACTCATGCCAAAAAAACATTTATTTGTGAATTCTGCGACCAGTCTTACCCTTCTGTAGTGCAACTTCAATACTACTTTAAATAAAAGTATGAATGCCTTTTAAATTCATTTTTGTATACTAACTTACCACATTTCTCCAAATTTCATACCAATTTTTTTCCAATTTACTTCAGTGAAATAAGTAAGCTCATTGACTTGCAGAGAAAATAATTATCATTCATACTATATTTGGCAATTATAAGTCAATTCCAGGTCTATCTTACTGTTTCATTCTAGAATGAATGAACCTCCTAGAATGAAAAAGCAGCCCCTGCTTGCGGTATGTTTTTCATTAATTATAGAAGAAAGTTGGCGGAATCCTAGAATGATTTTTCAAGCTTCAGCTGGAGACTTGTATATCACCTTTGCGAAATTGCAATAATCAAAGTAAATCCAAAGTTCCCTACTCTGCCCCAACTGTGAAGGATTTGCTAAAGGGCACAAGCAAATGGCATAGAAATTAATATTACAAAGATGAAGCATAAATATTGGAAATGTTAAATTACTGTACACAATTTATAGCTCTGTGAGAACATATGGCTGATATCAAGAAAGAACATTTCATATTTGTAACATATTTAAACAGAATTCATTAAACAAATATTTATTGAGCAGGCCTTTCTCTTTCCTGCCAGATCCTGTTCTGAGTGATTGTTATATAAAAACAAACAAAAGAAAAACAAATCTCTCTTCAAGGAACTCATCCACTAAAATATTAAGACAAAATAATTTACCATTACAGTTAGAATTTCTCTCCTTTTGAATTTGAGTGGATTTTTATAGATGGATCACTGGTACGTTAGCTACTCTCAAGGCATGCTCAAAATATGGCTGGAAATGTGCACTGTTACTGAAAAACCCAGGCTAACAGAGTTCAAATAAGTAGATGCCAAAAACCAAATAAACAGCTCATATTCTGTATCATCTGCTCTCTAAATTGCCTTAATACCCCAAGTGTGCATGGTTTCTGTGTGCCAAGTACCGTGAAGTAAAGATTTTCTGGTTCAAGAATGTTCAAATTAACTGACAAGCTAATCTCATCACACTAGAACAGTAATACTTTGGTACTTTAAGATACCTAAAAGTTGACCTATTCAGGACTGTGCTCATTAGATAATATTGGCAAGACATTATCAAAATTGTCATATACAACTATGGTCATTTTTATTTTTCTTGTTGTAGTCAATTGTTATAAATGGTATGAGGGTGCCCAATTTTTTTTCATCAATGAAAAGCATAAAAGAGTTCATTTTGAGTGCTTAAGTTCAGTCCTCAATTCTATTTTAGTATATTTTCACGCTCCGATATCATCCTCTCAAAACTACATGTGAGTAGAAGTGCTTCTACAACTTGCTATACCAGAATGAGTCCGCTTATTAGCTCTTACTATCTGTCTAGACTCATAATGATCTCTTTAGAGATCTAATATCTGTTTTTGACAGCAAACCTAAAAAATTACTATTTCACCCCAAAGTCTTATAATCTTTAACTTGATTCTTGTTCCCCCTGTTCTCTTCCCCATTGTAGGAGTCACTTGCACCCTTCCAAATCACCCAAAGCTGGTTCCTTTCTCCATGTCATCAGTTCTACTCATCCACTCACCAGGGAGTCTGAGGGCTACCACTTGCCAAGGTTAAAATGCCCACTGCAGTGTTCACCCAGGATATTCAAATATACTGCTCCTGCCTCCCATTCCACAGTGCATTATTGAGCAATTCCATTCAAATAATTTTTATTCTAATGATGAAAGTCTTCACTAAGGATATGCTATGGTTGTGTAGGAAACCAAGTCAGAAATACCAGTTGAAGACCAAACCCAATTCTAGAGAAGTTATGTTATGGTATAGGCCAAATGGTAGATTAAGGGGAACCCTTAGTTCTATATTATACTGCACTGCTTTACTTCTTCGATTTGTGTGTCCATATTCTGTATTTATGAGGATCTTGCAAAGAGTTTATGGCTTGTAAAGGTAACTTTTAACTTCCTGAAAGGGGATGTAATTACAAAAGAAAACAAAAAACTCTTATTCTAAAATCTAGTCTTGACCTTGAAAAAAAATTTTTATTTCGTATTTACTAATTACAAGTGAATCTCTAAGTTGGATTATTTTAGCCAGTCTGAATTGGAATATATCAGAATACAGAGAGGGAAAATGGTATTTATACTTGAAGACTGCTGCTGTGACTGGTTTGGACCTCCCTCTAGTGATGTTGAAATGCCAAATAGCTGTTTATTGAGTCTCAGTTTCCACTTAACCATGCATCTACAGCACAGTTTTGGTCAGTGGGAATTAAAGTAATGAATCTCTGCATGTAAAAGAGAAACTCCTTTCAGTTAATTTAAGTAATAATAATAATATACATACTTCTCAAAAATTAATGAAAAAAAAAGATAGTTTCAGGGCTTGATAATTTAGCAAATCAATGATATCATCAAAGACTCCGATTCTTTTAGTCTTTCTTCTTGGCTTTCTCACCATGATTTCTTTTCCTCAGGATTTTATCCCATGATTATAAGATGACGGCAGAATTTCTAGGTAATACATGTACATACAATACTTCAAGCAGTAAAGAGTTATTTCTAATTATGTATATATTTTTAAACAGACAAGACTTTTCCAGAAGACTCTCAAAATACACCTTCTAAGAAGAGGACAGAAATAAGTCTCAAGCCTTAGCCTAATCTCTGACAAAAAATAGTAAAATGTTAATTACCGTAATTGCTTAGACCACTTAATATTTTACTCCCTGGAGTTGGGGAAGAGGTTAACCTCTTCCATGAGCCATGATGCAATCTGTACATGAACAGAATGGAGATTTGAGGCTATATGACTGTCACAGAAACCAAACACTAAGTAAAGTGATATCCAGGAGTTCAAATAAAGGAGAATTGACTTATGTGTTGGCTATAAAGTCTAAGAAGAGTTTGCAGAACTTGAAATGGGATGGGAATGAAAGAAAGAATATTTGCTAACCACAGAAAAGCTGTGAGGGGGACACTGTGCAGAGAAGAGATCTTAAACAATGACATAGCTATTGCAAAATATTTTTGAGGTGTTCAAATTTCTATTGCAACATCCTAAGTCACTACAAAGAAACTTATGGACAAAAAAAAATAAATGTTGTATTTTATTATAGATACTGTGGGTCTGAGATTCACAAAGAGCATAGCAGAGATGGGATGTCAGTTGACAGAATTGAAATTTGGGTGACTTAAGAGCTGTGAGTTGATATATTTTAGAGGCATCTTTACCCATGCTAGTGGTCAATTTTGAGGTTACAACTAGGTGACAGAATATAATACCTATACAAGTCCTTTCTATATTATCTCTCCTTGGGTTTTCTCTCTGTATGGAAGCTGACTCTAAAAGTAGAATTCCAAAGGGACAAGATGGAAATGTAAGAAATTTTTTTATGATTGTGTCTTAAAAGTCACATAGCACTTTTAAGACACTTTGTTGCTTGAAGCAGTCTAAAATATACCCAGATTTAAGTAGAAGAAATGGAGATACAAAAACTTAACAGTAGTAGACTGAAAATCACATTTTATTGAAAGACTTGGGAAGGGTGATATCATTGTGATGAATTTTGAGAACAATCTGCGAGAGAATGTAACTTTTTCTCAAATATCAAAGCTGAGAAGAAGTTATAAATAATCTTCCTCTCTACATGAAAATTCCAAGGAAGATTTATGAGATATTTATTTGGGGTTTGTTTAAAAGATGATCAAACAGGAAGAGAAGTTCAAGACCATGGCATAAGAGGCTGGACACACCTCTTTCCATCAAATACATAGCTCTCTAATTCTTTTGGGGTAAAAAGGGGGGGTAGAGAATCTTCTACCGAATAAGGGGGGAAAGGAAAATGCTGTGGTTGAAGAGTAGAAGTAGGAGAAAGTGTCATGATAAAAAATCCTACTCTATCACATCAACCCAAAATCAGGAGGGATTTCATACATATGGGCTTCTCTTTGCGTGTGAGGGGTTTGTGTCTCATATTAGGCACCTGAACCCAGGGACTTGCATGGAAAAGATAGGATCCCCAAATCTCTAACTTGAATGTGTCTTGAAACCATGGGACACAAGGAAGTTTGACACAGAAAGTTTGTTATTTAAGGACAAGTGAACAAACTCACTAACCTGAAACCCAACATGAGAGGAGCAATTTTTTAATTATTTATTTTAATGAAGTACCATTGCTTGAAAATCTTGTTACTATTTTCAGAGGTGTGGTCTCCCCTCAGCTGTGGTTACCATATATCTTCCTCACCACCATGTTCTTTATAGGAGCAATTTGTAAAACACCTAAGAAATACAAGAATGAAACTCAGAAGATAATTTTAAGTGATTTCCAGAGGCATGTGTCTCTTGAAATTTTCTTCCAGG